ATTACTTAGCTAATGAACAAAAGTTGTCTGATAAACGCGTAAACATCACAAGGGAGCAGTAGTTAAACATTAGCAATTCATTACATTTAAAAGGTGATAATTATATAAATGTACAATAAATTTAAAATGTGTAAAGTGTTAATCCGTATAGTAACAATATTAACGTGTCGTATTTTTTTTTTTTTTTTTTGGAGTGTTTTCAAAGTAAATAAATAGGTATAAATATTAAAAAATATTTTAGACAGTAATATAAGGCAAAGATACACGATAAATTTGAGGTAAAAATGTACTGTTTATTATATGCAGTAGCGTATTTAGGATTTTGCCAAGGAGGGAGATATCGAATTTTGGAATTGTGCCATATTATATGTATACCAAAAAAAAATCCAATTATGATTTGTATATTTTTGTAAATATCTAACTTATTGTTCAATCTGTCCTAAAATCATAATTGAAATCAAATAAACTTACTACGTTTACTTTACTGCAGGCAATATTATTGTTAGTTTATTTACTATTTGCATAGCATAATTATTTAACCTCAACGGTTCTGATAGATTTCGTTTTAAACGAGAAAATGAATTCGTTCAGGGTTTTTTTTTTCGATATATCCAACACGTTTAGACACGAATAATTGTTTGAATTTTCCGAGTAAAAAGTTAAGAAATACAAATTTCAAAAATAGGCAGCCATATAAATAATGAATACTGAAAAAATATCAGTAGGAGAGATATAATATCTTCATAATCTCTAGCCACGCGTGTGTATTTAATACAATTTACATCAAATCCCGAAATTAAAATGGTGTTTACTTTTTTGAAACGGAATTCATTAGCTTCCGTGGTTAGGTATAGTAATAAAAAACTACTCCCGAATATTTGATCAGTTACCGTCGCGGGTATGGTCGGTATTTTTTGTCCGAAATAACTTTGGAAAACTGTATAATATGCTATTGTTTTTGATTATTGTCCGAATAAAAAAACACGATGGTGGTATTATAATATGCTATCGGACCAATATCTACTCGTTTAGATTAAGTCTGCATAACCGATCTATCTATATTTATTCGAAATGTAAATTATTTTGTACGAACAAATATTACCTTTTGAAATATTATAACTTCGTTATATTTTTCGTGGATTGAATAGCCGTGATAAAACAGCACCTAATATTATATTTTATTAACGTTAAATATTAAAAGGCTGGGCGTTAACGAGTTAATAAGTTAAAATTAGGTATACGTCGAAGTCTCGAATGGGAACACTTTTAACGGCAAAATCTTAAACCGAGATCTTGTGTTTACCGTTCAAGATTTTGTCGTTCAAATGTTTGTCATTTAAGAATTTTTCGTTCAAGGTGTTGCCGTTCAAGATGTTGATGCCCCACCCCCTTAAAGTTAAGTTAATTTAACTTTTTAGCTTAATAATTATTTTTTTGAATTGTTCAATTAATTGTCAACTCGAGGAACACAAAATAATTAACTTTTAACTTACTAGAGTTAGCTTTATATTTAAACAAGTTAAGTTGATTTCAATTTTTATTTGTATGCTCACATAAATACATTTATTATTATTATCATCAATATTTTTTACTGTTTTTGTTAACTTCTAAAACTTAGTTGAATTGATAGGTTATTTCTAATTGATTTTTAACTATTAACTTTATTTAAATTCAAAATTTGACTTGACCGAGTTGGAAAAAATCATTAGCTCGTCCAGCCTTGTTAAATAGCACCGCGGTCAAACGACGGCGCTTGTATTTTCGGCAACAATGCGAGTTTCAGAAACGAACCGTCGTCGTCGGGCACCGCGGTCGCAGTATTGTTTCGCGAATACACTCGTCGTATACGTCAGCCTACGTACGCAACCTACGCTGACGCTGCGGGCTATTGGTCTAAGAGTGTAATTTTGATTAAAATCATAATATTGAAATTATGTTATTAACAATAACAGACAGCCTCAGAGTAATTAATAATTTAGTTTCACGGCGGCCGCGGTGTAATAACATAATACCGTCATCATAACACACAACGTAATATTATTACCGTAATATTAGCTGTATATTATCATAATAACGCGAGCGCCGCGTCAGATTCCCACGTTTAATGGAACAAAGTGGTCGGCGCGGCGGACGACGCGCGTACCGATCCCGCCCCGAAATTCTCTCGGAAGTGACGAATAAAAAATGACGTAGAATAAGGTTTTCCCGGAGGAATAAAAAAAAAAAAACCACGAAGAAACGCATACGTTTACGATTGTATCGCGCGGCGCGCCTACCGGATTAATTTTCGGTCCGCGCGCACTTAACGGAACGCACACGATCGGGCTCGGCGATTTCGGCTTTTATACCGCGTGTTTTAGTGGGTAACACGCGTGTAACACCGGTATCGTCATCGTGTCGTTTGAGTTTGAGAAAACCGTACGACTTTCTAATCATTTGTATTTCAATAACGCGAGAAGTCACGGAATAACGAAAAAACCACCTACGATATTATTCACCGTAATAAATGGCGCACGGACACAACAGTATAATGTGTACTTAACGAAGTGTTTTTCAAATGCAGATAATGTATGTCGGTTGCGCATACATAATTTGTATACTATCTATAGTATTCCTATTATTATGGGTGTGCACGTGGCAAAATAACTTCGAAATGATATAAAAAAATATTATATTCACTAACAATAACGGCGAGTTTTCGCGACGATCCCGCGTCCCGACCTTTGTAGGGGAATCTCAGAGGGTGTATCCGAATCGGTTTACGCTTAGGTTTGTGACGTATCCACTATTATTCTGGTCGAATAGGTTCTCTCTGTTCACAGTTTGATAGCCGAATACGCGCATTTCCCTTCTCGTTCATGTAGGCTTAGGACTGTCAATTTAGAATTGCTTAGATTTTGTGCTAGACAAATGTCTGTACTTTATATTCGGTATATAAATACGTATATTCAGATGGATTGACGTTATCTTAATCGATTGCGGCATTTTGGCAACACGTCGATATACCATTATTATTTTATTACCTCGATATCTGTAAAATACCAGCCGTATTGCCGTAGTATGACAAAAACTAAATAAAAGTTTAAAAAGAGCTGATACTGGTGATGGGAGCGGCCATTGTTGTAGTTGAGAAGTTGGGAAGGTTGGATACATAAGGTCAATTCATTTATATCTGTAAACAACGATAAACCATTGCTTGACGAAAGACGATTCCGAGCGCAGTTCGGTAATACATAATTTGAAGTGCCGTATTTTTTTTTTTTACGATTATCATTTAAATTTTATTTCAAAACGCTTATTAAAAAAAAAATTCGTCTGACGATTTTGGAAATTGTACCACGTCTAGGTATGTCCAATAAAAGTGTTATAACCAAGTTTCAAGTCTTTACGTATATTTATAATCGAATTACAGCATGAAAACTTCTACAAATTAAATTTTCTTAAAAGCTTAAAAGTTTTAGCGATGATGTCGTAAAAAAATAAATCAAAAATGTGTTATGTGATTTTTCGATTGATTAGATCATTTTTTCCGGTAGAAAACATTGTCCGTGTTTTTAGAAAATAATGCAATCGTGAAATTGTACGTTTTCCTACATTTTTTCTCACGTAAAATGCTTTTATTTCAAAAATAACCTCTTTAGAGTACAATCTAGACAACGTCAGAAAAGTTGCTACGCGTAAGAATCGGAGCAAGTATATTCGGAAAAAACGTGTCCACAGACTAGAAGAAAAGAAGAACAAAAAGAAGAAGAAGAAGAACAAAAAGAAGAAGAAGAAGAAGAAGAAATAAATAGCATTGTAAAACCAATAGCTCTTCCCTCGATACGCTCGGAATCTAAAATGTACTACATCTACGTTTCCAAGGTACAATATCAGAGTAAATCGACCTATTATTAAGCGCAAAGACTAGTACGTTAACAGCTGTGTGACGTCGGCACTGTTTTGTCGATGTTCGAATTTTTAACAGAGGTTATATTATCTCGTTTGAAAATCAAATTATCGAAAAAAAATAAAAAAAAATAGCGCGGATAATTTCCTCGACTTTGATGATAAGTCGATTCGCTGTAGCATTAAAACTGATTACAGCACAAAGTCGTCCCCGCCAGACGCGGGGATTGCTATGTCATTCGTTTGGAAGACGCGTACAACAGCACGTGCGGGTATCACGTCGTCTTAACCGAAATCAATAAACGAGGTACCGTTTTAAACCTCTCTCCTGACGAACTGTTTATGTGGAATTGCGCAATTTATGATTTGTTTCACGATTAATGTTAATATTCGACGGGCGAATGCGAATTTTTCGCACTAGTGTTGAACACGTTTTTATCAATCGGACCATTCGGGACACGGATGTTGTTGTATACGTTCGTTTTTTAATTCAATAAAGAGTTGTTTCACATATTATACGGAGACGAGAAAACAATTACAATGTATTCGGATATATCGGAACTATTTATTACGATTCGACCTGTAGCAGTTGGGTATTTATGGGGGCGGATGCGTTGGTCATATCTCACCCTACGTGTAGTTTTTTTACTATCATATATAAATTGGCAAACAGATAGTATACTCTACTTTTTTTCCGTGATCTAATTTACTCTCGTATAACAAAAAGACAGGACAAATGACCGGTCCGAGTTCGCATCAATTTTCGGAAAAAGAATAATATTCAAAAGGCCGCATATTTTTTTTCAAGCAATCAATTTTTTCAAAACGACAGGAAATAATACTGTTTTTCGCTGTATTTCAATATAGAAACACGGGCCCCTCTCCGTGATTCTATGGACCCCCACCCCCTCCGTTCATATATGTATTATATTTTTATTGCATGACTACTCATGTTTTAATATTGTAACGTCACTGATTAATATTGTGTTCGTAGATGGCCCAGTGACTGCTGTATACCATTGAGTTGCGCCTATCGCTGCGAGCATTTATGTTTTTTTTCGTAAACATTACAATCGTTTAGAGTATAGTTTTTTTTTTACGCGTTAGTTTTGCGATAAATTGTATAGAATAGGGAAATATGGATGATTCGTTCTCCCGTTTAAAATATAAAAAAAAAAAAAAATAATAACAATTATGTAAAACGAACCATAGAACATAACTTCAAACGTTCCAATATCGTTTCGTCTGCGGTTTTCGGTCACCTCCATTCGGTCGTTCCGCGAACTCACGTCGGAACCTAATGAAAAACGACCCGCGATTTGTTATGCAAAACCATCCCGTGCGTATACTATGTACACCGTATATGGGTCTGCAGAGGGGAAAAATAATGTGTTCACTTCTCCCGTGGATTTTCGCCTTTCTGTCATCGCCGGTTTTCAAAAACATTTCGTTGTCACTGTATTTGAATATGTTTCGATACCGCGTGTTGCGTACGAACCGCGTGCGTTCGGCCGTGTTTCGTTCCGTATCCGACCGGTAAAAAAACGCAGTGATATTTAGACGCGGAATCGGTCGGACACAAAACAGAAATTACAAATCCCGCAGTACGCCCGGTGCGGTTTACTTACACTCGAATTCCGAATAGTCCGTTGATAACGCACGGAGCTGTAACCGTTGCTGTTGTGATGCACGCGATTTTCGATTATCCGCGCGCATCGCACATTACACGTGGAAAACCATAATCGTGATGGAGTTTTCGATTATACGCGACGCCGGTTTTCCGGCACGACACAGGCGGGGGGGGACAGATCCGGACGGATTCGTTCTTATTACCGTTATTGTTGTTTGTTTTTTTCACCCGAAGACCCGAGACGCCGGCGACCCAGTTTACTAAAATTATTACGTTTACCGGAATGATATTTGCAACAGTGCCAGATTATATAACGTTGATAGATGATATCTTCCCGACATCAATCATATTTAGAATTGCGAAATGCGCGCGCGGGCACATAGCGCGTGCACTGTGGCGGCGCGCATGGGTCGCCCGCTGAAAATAGAATAACCGCGGGTCACGCGGCCGCCGCCGGTACGATTGCCGCGGTTCGACGAATAAACGCAATAAATATTAATAATCGTCTGTCGCGCGAAATAACTCAATCCGGATGCGGGAATCGTCATCGTGTCGCGCGGCGATTACGTTATTTATTTGTGTGCCGCGGAGTTTTTTTTTTTCGAAAAACGGAAAACGGAAAACCGTCGCGTCCGCAATGATTTTTCGCGATAATTGTGCGCGTCACGGCCGCTTAGCCCCGGCGGGTTACGACGGATTTCCCCGGGCCTCCGGTGCGCCGGTCTCTTGTTTTCCGGGAGGACGAAACGCGTTCGGAGGGAAATCGCATTCTCTGTTTGTTATCGTTCCCGGATCGTTACGGGAAAAAAAAAAAAACATCAGTTCCGTAAAAAAATAATATCGTTCTAAACATTTTAATAACGTATCATACAATACGCGTATCACATCCGTTCAATAGTGTCACGGCGACAGCCGTTTCGGATATTTTCAATTCGTAACTGCACGATATTGTGATTCCCTATCCGCGGTAGTCTCGTTTTTCACACTATTTTTTTTCGTCTTCTTTTCTTTTTCTTTTTTTTTTCCGAAAAATCATGTACTACGTAAATATTGAGATCGAATACGAGTATATATACATTCAAATTTTTAGAACAATATATTTTACGAAATGACCGTTTTTAAAAATTATATTTTATTTATTCAGAAATTAGGGGATGGAAATACAAGTTTAATTTTAGATACATAGATGTTCCTCTTAGAGAAAAGCAGGTTTAAAATTTAAAAAAAAATACAAATAATTTTAAAATTGACTATTAGAAAAATCTAGAAAAATCCGTAAGACATGGTCGGACACTGATATATGTATATATGTATATTAGATTATATATTATACAAACATGTGCGTGTGTGTATTTTTCCCGCTACTTTTGGACGGTTTTAGCGACTCCGCTTGGAGCCTGTAATTGGAAATTGGAGTTTTTTGACATGATGCATTGAAGTGATTAAAATGAAACAAGGAAAGATAACATTTTGAATGTGTGCAGTTCAAGTATCAATAGGATATGCCTCTTGGGGGTTTCAACGTTCAACCTCCCCCCCCCCAACAGTTTTTACATGCTCAAATGTTATGTTTTCACGAGAAACGCCGTGTTTTAAATATCCCTATAGACTCATAAAAAAAAAAAAAAATTAAAATGAATATTTTAACGGCAACAAGTCAGTTTGGGGAAAATTCGACTTTAGTGACGGAATTCTGCTGATTTTATGTATGACGGTGGTTAAAAAGTTTGTCGGTTTGGCTTGAGTTTTTTTTTTTTTTTAGTTGTTAAGCGTATTATACGATGAGTACTATTTATTCATTTCTTTTTTCTGTCTGTGAACAACTTTTTCACTTAAAATCTTCGTTCAACTGTCATACATCAGGGATAGTTTTTGGTAAAGAAAATATTACCCGTATAGTCGGCGCATCGGGAAGATCATTTTTCAATTTTCCTTGAAGGTTTTTCATAATAACGGGGAAAACACACGTAGTCGGGCAAACGAGAATATTTACCCAATAACGGCGAGAGTGTTAATTTCGATTTTGTTTCCTTTCGTTGTAATTCCGTAAAAAATAACCGTAAAGACGTGTAGTTTTCGCCGAACACTGATAAATTGTGTAAATGTTTCACATATTATTCTGTATAATGGTACACAAATTTCAAAATAAAATTTTTGAGTTATATTTGAAAACTAGATATTTATTTAATTTTTTTTTTTTTTTAATTTATTGACACAAAAATGTTTTAATTTATTTTTATTAACGTTTTAAATTTAAATTTATTATACAATTCGTTTCAAATAATTACAATTGATGATGTCTTATTTATAAATATTAATTATATTTTCAATCGACATTGATCAAACATCATTTAACCGAACTCCGTTTAAAATCTTTTTTAAAGATATTTATCGTTACGAATAGTTTAATATACCCATAGTCTTGTTAAGCCATTTGGCGCCCAGGGGTATACGTTTTTAAACGTTTCCTCTTAAAGTCTTTCTGAAGATGATTTAAAGGGTTATTCCTCTCAACAATTATTTGTTTTTTTTTTTTTTTTTTTCATAATTGTGTTTAATTTATATTTAAATTTTATTGATTTACCTCCACTAAATAAGAATATTCTTTACTCCTGAATTTTTTTCTAATTACCTTCTAATTATCAAAATACCTTCATTATCACTCTAAGCAGTCTATAAGCAAACCGTTTGAAGTTAAAATGAATAACAAGTGACACAGTTAAAGTATTATTGTCAATATTTTATTTCCAGTTTTATACCGAGCGGGTGCCCTATAATTTTAAAAAGGTTCACCGTCCTCTCTTTAACATAGCCCTGAATATACGAACTTAATTGCCCTGTATCACACATACATACCCAATTGCATGCCTACCCGAGTGTGTCCAGTTTTTGTTAGGTTTCTTAATTCAAGTGTAGTCCGTTCCGTGCAGCTACTACAGTTTTCAGTTACGGTTGTTGATTTACCCTAGCCAAATATATTAAAAAATAGATACCAAAATACAAGTAGTACTTTAAAAATAACTCGTCAACGTTTTATAAACTGCGTTTATTAATTAATTTAGGTTACTGCACGTATATGCACAAATATAATATAAAATAGAATAAAGTGTAAAAGCCTCGAGTATTACTATATAACAATGTATACATATTTTTTTTAAAACATGTTTTGGCGGGCGTGACACATTTCGCCCAAATAAATATTAGTCATTTTATAATCAAGTTGGCAATGGTTTTTGAATAATAGTTGAAACACATAGACAATTATTTAAAAAAGTCCTGGCAAAATCCAAATCATTATTTTTTAAATTTCTACACGTGATTTTTACAAACTTATACCTAGTTATTTCACTAGGTCTATTTAAAAAAAAGACATATACGTTTTTTATTACATTCTTGCATTCTATTTTTTTTTTTTTTTTTTTTTTTTTTGGGGGGGGGGTTATTTTAACGCTACACATTTTTATAAAATAATAATTTTTGATATATATTCTCAAATAATTTTCTATGTGTTTTAGCCATCGTTAACGACTGCCAATTTAATTTTAAAATGACTGAAATGTGTTTGGACGAAACGGGTATTTGGGTGAAACGGGTCCCGTCCGTTACTTATGTTGTATCGCCCAGATACAACATCCATAGAATCCATAGAGTAATTATATTACTAATAATATAACTTAATATTTTTTCATAGTATAAAAGTTATTAAATTCCTTTTAATAAAAAAAAAAAAAAATTGTTAAAAAAGTACAACCTAATAATTATATAGGTAAATATCACTTTCAGAAAAAAAAAAAAAATATTTTGATTTTATACAAAGTTTATTTTTAAATCAAAAATTTGTGATATTTTTCTTCACTATGTTTTATAAAATAGCTACAATCCTTAGCTTTTAATATTACATTATCACCTTCTATATTTTTAAAAAATATAGATAAGTTAATTTTGTTCGTTTTGCCGCAATAATTAGGTATCTCCAGTTTTTTCAGATTTTTTAGTGATTTTAAAAGTTACTTAAGATTTTGTAAAATTTAAATCTATACGCATAGATACCTAGCTATTCGTATGTAGACTTTAAATCTATTTTTACAATTTTCATATTTTCATTAGAAATGTATATATTTAGTTTTTTGTGCCTCCTGAAAAATTTCAAAAATCGGAGATGCCTGGTACTTGCACTAGGGGGGAGGGTGCTCAGTTGTTCACGGATAAATAAAAAAAAAAAAAATAATAAATCATTGTAAAACCAATACATTCCTATCGTTTCGCCAGAGTCTAATAGTAAAGAAAGGAAAACAAATCGAACGGTAAATAATTTGAAAATAAAAGAAAAGCAGCAGTACAACTATGTATTGAATAAAAATGCAGTTTTCTTCATGTCTAATAAATACTGATTAATATCATTGCATTTAATACATACCCGCGCTGTTGCCTTTATTTCGTTTAAAAAATTTTTAATTTGTTTTTCCTCCCTCTTTCTTGTTTAACGTGGATTTATTTATTTGTACCTACACTCTGTGTTTCCTATCTTTTTATTTTATTTTGTGTCTATATATTTTCTCATTTACTCTTGTTTCGGTATTTTGTCTATTTATTTATATTAGTAATACTCGTGGCCTTTACGCTGTTATTATTTAATTCGATCGGATGCGAGCATTATTGGATCTTCTTGTTTTTATGATATAACATTAGGTCAACACAAATTCGTTTCAACTTTTATACGGAATTATGGTACAATTTATTATTGCGTTAAAATACGTTAAGAAACCGGAAACTTCGGACGATCGCATACCTGGCTTTACCAACGTGGTTATATTTATCGCACATCAAAAACAACTGCGACTTACGAAAAGTTCGTTCGTTTGATTCTAGTTTTTCGTTTTATTTATTACAAGTATTATTATTAATTCAATTTTTTTTTTTTTCGTTGGAATTTAAAAACATTTTTATAATACATTTGTTCAATATCGCATAGAGGGAGGTGGAGCTGGGCTGCGATTTGTATAACCGAATTTATTATTTTAGGTAGTCGATATAATAATATCAAATGTGTTACGCGTGTTAATATTATCGAAATGTAATTATTGAATATTTTTACCTCGGGTCCAACCTTCGTGTTTTTCATTTTAAATCTAAAAAAAAAAAAAAACTAAAAAACATAATAACAAAAGAAACCTTTGCGCGAAATTCGCCTTCTTTTTTTTTTTTTTTATTGGAAATCGCCTACGTTATACACCGTATATCTACCTATCCGGGGTTGTCTCGTAAATCTTGTCAAGCACTTTTTTATATTTAGGTGCAATATACGCGCGTCTGTTTCAGAACAAAAAAAAAAAAAAAAAAAAAAAAATAAAAAACCGTCGTTTTAAAGTTGATAAAAAAAAAAAAAATTTGAGTAGTTTCGGAGGCGTTTTTTAAACAAAAATAAATGTTTTTTTGCTATTACTTCAAACGATTCTATACGTTTTTTTTTTAATTTTCTCACCGTCCGTTCGGTACATTGATCTGGTAACGGGGGCGACCGCCGTTCGTTCGCCGCGTAACACACCGCGCGTTTTATCGACGTGCGAGGATTTATATTTTTTCCAAAGAGGATTTCGGTCGCTGGCGCACGGCCACCGGATAACACGGGAAATTTAAATTACGCGGTCGCGGTAATTTCGTCGGCGGGGCCGCGCGAAAATAACGTTAAAGAGTAGCCGTAATACGAGCGTATACACGTAGGAGGTTTAGGTACACACGGATGGAAAAAAAAATATCGTATACGTGATATTTTTTTCGGGCCGTCGTGCCGAAACCCCAAACCCGCGCGAATAACCTTTATTGCACGTCGCGGCGGTGTCTTTAAAAAGACAAGGTCGACATTTTCGTTATTTTTCCGCCGCACCGGAGTGTCGCGCGTACTATTGTACAGTCGCAGATTACCTGCGGCCATTCTCCGGACGGAATTACACGGACTTTTGCGCGTGCCGTCTCGCCGCGAGTGGACCGCCGCGAGAGTGAACGAGTGGCGGGAGCCGCGAAAACCGAAGGGGCCGGACCGAACGCAAACGAACGTCCCGCGGCTTCCGTGTGTCGGCCGAGAGTTATCCGTACGGCATTTGCCGCGGCTGCAACGCGACTGAGCAAAATTTAAATGCAACGTTGCCGTAACGCGTCAGTCGTGTGACCCCGGCGTACGGCATAACGACGGTTAACGCAACGGACGATTATTTTTACGCGTTTTGAGATGACCGCGGTCGTGGACATTGATAATAATTTTTCGTGGCTAAATTGCGATTTTCACGCAGATACGCGGTGCGTCACACACGATGTTACCGGAATATATTCGTTTATACGTGGCAACGTTGCGTTTAAAATCTTGCGCAACCGCGTATGTGTCTCGATGGTTATTAAAATGTACACGATTGCGCGAATTTCGCTCAATCGTTCTTCGCCGATTCGCCGCGGGTCGACGGAAAACGCCCCGCAGCCGAAATGACACAACGCCCCGAAACCGTATTTTATACCACGACAATGTAAATAGTATACAGGGTGACTATTTTTTTTTTTTTTTATCGCCAGCCTATACGATAGGCTACTATAATAGTAATAATAATGATTATGTCACGGAAATTACGAGCAACACATTCGATTGCGGTTTGTTTCAATCGTTTGTACCGTCGCTTATTCTGCTGCATTTCAACATTTAATAATATTGATATTATTATTATTATTATTATTATATCGACATTAGTAAAACACAAGTGTTTCCGAAATTTTTTTTATTCTATAGTTCCCCTCGCCTCTCATACTAGACCGCGGTTACACTGTTAATCATGAAAATGATATCACCGTTCATACCGAAATTCCTGTATCGACTTAACGAATATCGGCCAACAACACACAATGACGGTAATTGCGCTTTTTATTATGTTTTTCTTTTGCATTTTTCTGTGCAAAACGTATTCATTACATATTATAGTACTTGATTTGTCAACATTAAATTGTTTAAACAATTTTTTCGATCATCTTGTAAAATTACAAAAATTAAAATTGCCGTATACCACATTGCCATCCGTATAAACGCATTGTATCAATTTATTGCTTTTAAACAGCAACGGTCTCATCGCAAATTCCAAAATGGAATATTATTTTTG